ATTAATAATGCAAGACTGCTCAACTTAAGTGATGTCGCTGCATAAAAAAAAAAAGTTTAAACATCAGTGATTCTATCATAACTGTTCTCTCGTGCAGGAAAAGGCATGTCTCGTTGAATAGCCTGGGACCAAAGACAGACCCTGCGAGAGGAGACATCAGTCTGGGCTGAAACTGAGCCCTACATACCACACATGCTTTAGGGGCACAATAGCTCTCTTTACAACATGCAGTAAAAATTGCCTGGAAGAACTGCAATGGAACAGCAGCTGAGCATTCTTGTTCTTCTCAAAGTTGTCGGATCACTTTGGAAGAGTGAAATTGTTTTGAGGAAGCTGCATTTGAAATATTTAAATACATTGACTCCCATGCTCAGAATCAAGTGAGAAGAACATGTTCTGAATATAGGAGTCAATGATATACAATGTAGGGTTAAGTACAATCAACTTGGGTGTTTGTCATTTCAACTTAAATTACATTACACACTAACTTAATATGAGTTGAATCTTGTATAACATAAAAAAGTTGAAAATTGCTTAACTTATTTTGATGAGTTAATCAATGTAAAAACATGTCTTAGCTTATTGATCATATTTTCTTTTTTTTTATCCACATCTTTTGACCAATTAATTTCTGGGAGTTGAATAAATTTCCATTTGTGATTATAGAATAGTTTTATATAAGATGCATTTATATAATTTAGAGATTGCATTCAAATTGCAATTTTTGACAATGACATAGTTTATTATTATATAGAATATATTCACATTTACTATTTATAATCAGTAATCTCAAAAGTTTTAAAGTTATGTTGCTGTCAGAACCTTGAAAACAAGCTTGGGCTGGAATTTTTAGTCTGACAACAACTTATATAATTTGCATAAAGGTGGATGAGGTGTCATGTGACTAGTCACGTTCTCAACTTTTCCACTCATGAACAGAAAGGACAGAAACGATGCGTCATTTCACATTTTTTAATACGTGAGCACCACGTAAATTGTCATGATACCAAAATACATAGATTCAGAATGCGACATGGGAAGCAATATATACACACACACTCAAATATTACATTATGTACAGGTCTTTATAAAACAAAGACATTAAAACAGTGGCCTAAACCTCGTACAGTCAAGTTTGGTGTGGTCGACCCTGAAACGGTTCGGTGACAATGTAATATTGACCTTCATGACACGTTTGCATATGTTGTAATACCCCTTGCTCACATGGCTTTTTGAATTGTCTGAACTGTAATCCCAAGTAGCACCAGCATTCAAATAGTTCCTTCACTAGAAAGGCATGCCCGGACATCTTACAGGCCAAACTGAGCTTGTACTTTGGAAGCACCACTCATGCTTGCTGGGAAGTCCCACACTACCATGTTGAGCCCAGGCCTGACCACGTGTTACCAATGAGCGTAGGGCAACCCGGATAAGAAGTATAACATTAGTACAATACAGTTAGAAAGCGACTATCGCTGTACTCCAAGGGTTTAGGTTCTTCAACATTTGGTCGCAGCAGATTTGACCACTTTCTTCAGCCTCAGCCTCAGGTTTAGCACTGTCCTTACTGAGAAGTCCTGAGAAACTGGAACCAAATATCGTTATGAGGTTGGACACGTTACTTGTGTCCATTTCCTCGCCTTCCTCGTCCTCTTTAGCGTTTGAGGAAGCGACTTTGGTCCTTTTTAGAGGCGAATCGTCTCTTTCCGACTCCTCCGCGCTTCTTTTCCTGTTTGAACAAACGTGCGTTTTGGGTGGTTGGTGTGATTCCCCGTTCTCTACAGGCGTTGACTGACGTTCTGCTACTGTAGTGTCTGAGGGACTCTCCTTAGGTTCGTTTATGGTTTCCGGTGGGGTTTCAGATGAAACGTTACCAACAGAGTCCAACGAAGAGTTTTGTTTTTGCTCTTCTTGTAAAGTGGAAGTACAATCCGCCTGGTTTGATTTCACCTCGTCGTCGTTTTCGCGATATTCCCGCTCTTTCTCGCTCGCCTCGGGTTGCTTATTTGGTTGCGGTTCCTCTGGGCTTTCACATTCCGTTGTAGAGGGAGGGAATTTCTCCCGCTCTGAATCCATAATGTCCCATTCGTTCCCTTCGCGTTCGCCTTGAGCGTTCAGGCACGCGCCGCTGTAGTAGTCGCTCAGATAGACCTGGCGCGCGCTGCGAAGGACCAGCGATACCAGGAGGTTTTTGTGCAATTTAATGCCGCCACGTTGAATGCGCGAGTTGTAGATTTTCCCTAAGGAAATACTCATAATCCGGTGGGCTTCCACTTTGTATTCCATGGCTGGAGTCGAAACGCCGAAGTTCACACACTGTAACTGACAAAGTTCGCCAAGCGTTTCACGTTTGATTTCCTCTCTGGATTCTCCTCCAAACGTTACAGTAAATTGGCCAGCGACGCAGAAACACGTTAATTAGATAACGTACAAGAACTTTCCCCTCCTGTAGATCAGATTGTCCCTTGTTTTGTTGACAGAAGCTTCATTCTCATTTACAAAATGCGATATTGGTTTTACTGACCGAGTGTATGAGATTTCATTATCTCACACATTTTCTTCTGCACTCGACAATGATCTAGGGAGGAATGAGACCGTTTCTATTTTTAACTCGCTTTTATACCTCAGCGTCAGCGACTACACTAGCCAATCACATCTCGAGCTGAGTTCTGCCACAGTTGTGAATCACACCCCGCCAAATAGGCGCTGACCAATGGGAGAGCGCTTTGGCGATGAGTCATATTTAAATACTAACGTGGGAGAACTGTTTAAAGGGAAAGAAATGTTTTCAAGCTAAAGCAGACAGATATTTTTATAATTCGTTATGTATTCTGCTGTTTTGACATATAGTTGAGCTCGTCTATATTTAAAACACAATGCCGTTATCGTAAGCAAATAGAATCAAATAACAAGCCAAAATCGACATATAACAGAAAGTAAAACATGTTTTTACATGTCACTGGGATTTTTTAGGGTCAGTGTCATACTTTTAGTTCCTAAATACGTATTTTTAGATCTATACATGTATTATTCGTATTACAGTTTCCACGTAGCAGAAGTTCTTGTTTTATAAGACGAAAAAAAAGGTACTTCCCCTTTAATTTTTTCAACCGACTTCCTCGACTGATGTAATGGTTTGTCTGCTACAGTCGTGTCACATGACTCTATTGTGCAAATCCATTGCGGTGTCTGAGCAAATGTGAATGGAGCTGTTAGTGGGGGAAGGGCAATGTTTTGTTTGAAGAAACAGTTAGCTGCTACTCATGAACTACAATGAACAGTGCGGCAGATTTGATCCTGATGATAATCCTTCTTAATGGCCACACTTTCATTAGGCTATATAAATATATATGAATGTTCATTTTAATTATAGTCCTAATCCTCGTGTGTTGGTCTGTGAGTTTCCCTGCATTAAGATGTGGGTCATAAACAAACCTGACAGGAAGAGCGGGCTATGACGTAAGACACTTTCAGAGGTCGTTTATCTAAATATAAACGATCACAGCCATGGCTCCCGCACAATATCTTTCTGAAATCCTTGGTTAGATTAATTCAGATCAAAAATATATCCTTGATAGACAAGAATATTAAAAAAGACGTATATATTGTAACCACATTCAGCTGTGGTGTGCTGTTAATGGGTTGCAGTTCAAGGTAGTTCACCCAAAAAAATTAAATGTTGTCATTATTTGCTCACCATGTTTTTCCAAATCTGTAAGTTTCTTTCTTCTGTTAAACACAAAAGGAAGATATTTTGAAGAATGTTGGTGACCAAACAGTTGACGGCACCCATTGACTTCCAATGTATTTTTTCCTTAGTCAATGGCTACTGTCAACTCTGGTTACCAACATTATTATTATTATTATTATTTTTGTGTTCAACAGAATAAATCATAATGGTTTAGAAAAACATGGGTGAGTAAATGATAGAATCCTTTTAATACAGGGATATGTATCATGCATATTATCTCATATATTCCTTATTCTTCATTCAGGTCCTCATGTTGATGGGGAACTGGCAACTGATACTATAAATAAAGCCAGAGTAGATTAATAATTTATGCAGCATTACTTACTAAAGGCGAGCTGAAGTGTTTCCAGCTGGTTTGCTGGTTTTACATCATACACAATGTCCTCTTACTAGCTCTAGCACTGGTGTAGATAGTCAACTAATGAGAATGCAGCATTCTAATGAATAATGTAGGAAGGACGGTGCTAGTAGGCAGACGAGGTACACCGATACACTGATTAAGAAAAACCAGTGGCAAACTCATAGTTACTATTACCGTGGTTTCAGATTATATTAATGTATTTAAATTGTTTATATTTTATGAGAACAGACCTAAGGTGTTTGATTAATGCACTGCATCAAAGTAAACATAGTTCTTAAATAAAAGTACATTAGTGGAACCACAGTACAGTATGGTGTCGGTTGGTATAGCTTGTTACTTTCGAATGGTAATACAATTTTTTAAAGAAATAGAGAAATTATTAAATAAAATTAAAAAAAGAATAAGAATGATTACAAAGTAAATACCATAGTACATCAATTTCAGTACCACCGTATATTTCAACCACCCATCAGGAATCATCACAATAACATGGTACTACCAATAATAATATTATTGTTATCACTGTTGTTATTATTATGTATAATGACAACATTTGTACAATAGTTCAATAGTAGTAAAGTGGTATTAAAAGTAAAATTACAATATGTTATTGTAATGTTTAATAATAAAAAATACAGCAACACCCTCCGGATTATAGGTGTTGAAATATTTAACTACAACATATACAGCGTTATCTGAATTAAACCATTTTGCCCATTATTTTAAACACGCTGTTATACACGTTTTTAACATATCCATCCATTCTGGGGCAATATTGCTTTGTTGTTTTACGGCAACAACAAACCAAAACAGCCCACGCAGAAAAAAAGCACGCTGGTGTTTGTGTTTTTTTACCGGGAGGCTCGTGTGCGCGCGCGCGTGTCTAGACGCTCAAGGACCCGGATGTGATTCCGCCGAGCAATGGCGGCTGAGCGGATCCGGGCTCCATCCCGCATGTAAACAACACATTAAGCGCCCTCCTTTGTTAAAGAAAACCAGCCTCGGTCAGGAGCATGAGATTTTCGCTCAAGAATCGACTCCTCTGAGCACCAAAAATGTCGATGGAAGATCCGTTTTTTGTGGTGAAAGGGTGAGTTTATTTAACGTGACCGTGGGACAAGACTATCATATATCAATTTCGGAGAAATCGGATTAATAACTCTTAGTGTTTTTCTATGGTTAAACATTTCTGTTCACAATTTTTATTATTGCGCGTAAATACTTTAGAATGTTATAATACCGCACAAAACAGCTGTTTCAGTAAGATCGTTATCTTGTTGCCATGGCAACCGTACATATCGATTTCTCTCAACTTTTATATTATGACGTTAAATCGATATCTCAATTGTTTTCCTATTAAGTGGTATTGGTGTATGTTGGCAAACATCTGCTCTTCGATATATTCCACTTACAAAAATGTACCATTTTACTACCACGTTTTTTCGAAATGAGTCATGGTCAGAGTACCATGCTTTTTCCAGGTGATACTGCCCTAATTTTGGAATTATCATGGTATGATACCCCAAAATTTCTTCATAATACTATATTTGTGTTTACGTGTCAAACAGGATATTAGCATTGTCAATGTTCAAATAATTGTTCTTCACCTATTCTATTTTTTTAAATACACAACCCTAGGTTGACCAAAGTGCTGTACATAAAATTAAAATAATGTTAACAAAATAAACAATTACAAAAAAAATATATAAATAAACAATTTGAATTACATTTTCAACCCACCATAATTTCTAATGAAGCGTTTTGATTGATTGCTTTTCCTTAGAGAGGTGCAGAAGGCTGTGAACACGGCTCAAGGGCTTCATCAGAGATGGATGGAGCTGCTACAGGACCCGGGTGGAGCCAGCAAGGAGGAGATGGACTGGACCACCAATGAGCTGCGGAACAGTTTGAGGTCCATTGAATGGGACTTGGAGGACTTGGATGAGACTATCAATATCCTTTTGTTTCTGCTAGCCTATGTGGACTTGACGTTCTTCTGGCTTTTATATGTTGGTTGTAGCCTTAACCTAGTGTTCAAGTATTGTGGAGGCGAATCCAAAGAAGTTTAATCTTGATGCTGTGGAGCTGGCCAAAAGGAAAGCCTTCATCACTAGCACAAGGCAAACAGTCAAAGTGAGTAGATTTGAGAGACAAGTCCTGTTCACACCAAGAATGAACTATAATAGCGTCCACAGTAACGTTTTTCACAGTAAAGTTTTGTCGTTTGTAGCTTTAAATGCTGGAGCTTTTTAAAGTCAGTTGTGAAAGGGAGTACACAGTGATATTGTTCCTCTGTGGCGCTATTGTTATAGTTGAGTTGTGAACTGCTATATTTAGAACTATTTAAAAAAAAAACATATCTTTACCATTATAGCGTGTGACAGGCCTTTACACACATCTGCACCCATGGTAGATAAATATCTCTAATGGATTTTCATTTTACAGGAGATGAAAGACCACATGGCTAGTCCAATGGCCGCTACAGTGTCCGAGCGGAAAACTCGACAGGTTTGTACTTACGCTATGGAAGTAAGTGTCAGATTGTGATTTTACAGGTTGTATATCAGCTCATGACAATTGATGTTCTTATTTTAGACTTTAATGGGCGATGGTGGGTCTCGTGGCCCAATCTGGCAACCCAGTGCTGATAAATACACTAGACTGGACAAGGAGCTGCAGACGGCAAACTCACAATTCATTGATGAACAACAGACCCAGCAATATGTATGTCAATATATACATCATACCACAAATAATAGGTGATTAGCATATTCTACGGTATTTATGAGCACTTATCAGGGCAATGTGTTTTCTTTTTGTGTGTGTGTGTACATGGCAGCTAATAGCAGAAAAGCAGGATGAGCATCTAGAGTTAGTTTCGGGAACTATTGGCGTCTTGAAGAACATGTCTCAAAGGATCGGCCAGGAGCTGGATGAGCAAGCTGTGTAAGTCACTTCAAAATTGGTAAAGTCAGGTAGGAAATCTTTGTGTGTGTACAAATGTGCGCACAACAGATCTGGTTCTCAAATCTGATTGGCTGAGAGCCTTTTCCAGCAATGCGATATTCTACTAATATCACATGGAAACTGTTTCACAATTTGTATCTATACTGGCAGCATTTCTCATAACGAGCGCTAATGGCGGAAGAGCAAAAACATTACTTTTGTCTACTTATTTTGGAATATAGTTGTAGTTTGAGTTTTTTTTTTTAAACGAATGTAGTTGTTAAGACCTCAAATATGATATTTATATTGGAACATTTGTTTTGACATTTTTGGATATAAATAAAAAAAGTGTGTGTGTGTATGTATGTATGTATATATATATATATATATATATGTATAATATTTATTCTTTTATATTACATTTTTGAATATTAGAATATTTTTTAACATTTATATCTCAAATTTGTATGAATATAACAATAATTTTATATTACATATCTAACTATTTTTGAATAATTTGTGTATATGTGTATATAAATGGATATTAGATACACACGTATATGCATACATATATGCATGTGCTGTGTTTGTATATTATACAGTTTTTTAAATTGCATTAATAATATATATTAAATATTTTGAACATCGTGTTTTTATATAAAAATTTTATACATTTTATGTCACATGTATTTTAAAAATATATATTTTTAAAAAATGATTGTGTATATATATATATATATTCTATTATATTTAATTTGAATATTTTGAACAATTATATATCAAATTTATATGAATGTAATTATATTTATTTGAAATACTGTATATCTAAACTTGTATTAAATATATTTTGAATTATATTTATGTATAATTAGAATATGTTATCAATTTATTTAATTTTTTCATAAATTACAAAATTGGAACACAAAGTTGTACAAGACAAACTGACCTGCTCCTTGCCTAAATCCTCACAGTTTGTCTAGTCTGTGTGGGTGAGTTAACAGACCTTTAAACTTCCTGAATCCAATCTGACTGTGTCTGGCCTATTTTCAGAATGCTGGATGACTTTTCTCATGAGGTGGACAGCACTCAATCCAAGCTGGATAATGTCATGAAGAAACTGGCTAAAGTTTCTCACATGACCAGTGGTGAGTAAAACTGTAGCAGAAGAGCAGACATGCTTCATTTAAAGTCTTCCACGGTTACAAATGAGTCAATTCTCAGAACACTTGAAACCTCCTATTTAAATATTTGAGGTCCTATCTGACGCATAACGTTCACTTGTTTTGTCTGTACATTCAAATTTGTTCTGAAAGTACTGTTTTTATGTTGTCCAAAAGCAAAACTTTTGTCATGATTCATAAAGTTAGCTCTCTGTTTCAGAAGAAATCCATCATGTGTTTGAACTTCCTGTTGCAGCTAATGTGATTGACTCCAGTGCCCTTTATATGGCTAAGCATGAACAGGAAGTCAGACTTCCGGACCTTTTCAAAGAAAGCATTTTGTCGAGAGGCCAAGAATTAAATCTGAACATCTCCTTTACGTTGTGGGATCGTTTCAAAACGCCTATAGGCGCACATTACTAACACGCTCTTTAAATTACAAAAAAATATTGCGCCATTGACTTTAGCCCAGGTTTCAGTTGGTCAATGGCGCAGTCTATTTCAGTTGCCTCAAAATAGCAACAACCAACAACACGCCTCATTTTCAGACCAACACACCCATGGGCGCAAATGCATTTGCTATTTAAAGGGTAACTAAACCCCTGGTCAGAGCCTGACTCCACCTACTGGCAATATTTAAAAATGCTGAAAAAGTGGGCAGACCCCAGCGGAGATGGAGGGGATGAAATAGATGCTAAAACACTCTATCCTGATCGTTTTCAATACTCGCAATTAGCTCGTAGCTCGTACCAAGAGCGTGGTGAGCTGAAACGTGCGTACGTCACGAAGAACCGCTAACATCCAATAGGAAAATTCAACTGCAGTAGCCAACCTGAAGAGGGCAGCACTAAGACGTTTTTACACCATATATTGTAGAAATAAAACACTTTATACACAAATTTCAAAAAAGTTACTCGAATCAATGACTGGTATTAATAAAGATCCATTCTTACAGATCATTAACTAAGTTGGTTTAGTTGCTCTTTAAACAATGTGGCGCAGGTCGTGAAAATAATAACAGCGTCGGACTGAAACTAGCCAAACTGCATTGCGCCAGGTGTAAGATGCTCTTGACAACCTAAATATGAGTGTTTTAACTCATTATATTTTTGCTCGACCCCGCAGATCGAAGACAGTGGTGTGCTATCGGCGTTCTACTGGCCATCCTGTTTGTGGTGATCATCCTCTTCAATGTTCTTTGAACAGCACTCCACTACAGCTCTCCCGTCTGGGTACGCTCACATCAACTGAGGTGTTCGGAAGGGAGAGAACCAACCACAAAACCCTTTCGTCTCTATCTTCTCTATTCCATCATACGTGTAGAACGCCGCTTCTTTTTTTGCTTGTATGCAGCCCAGACTGAAAACAAACATTAAGTAAGCACAGGCTGTTCTTTGTTTTTCCTGCAAACGCATTCCGGTTTAGGCGATAATACGGTCTGAATCATTTCGTACGAGATGACGTGATCCAGGGTAAATCATTTCTTTCAGATGGACCATGACTTTTAACACTTAAGCAGCTAAAAGAGTTAATAACAATCTATTTTTTTTCTAGTGCTACTAGAAAATATTGCCTATATTGCACTGCTTTAACAGCCAGTTTAGACCACTGTAAATGTTCAGCACTAACTACAAAGCTACTAAACACTGGAGCTTAACAAACTAGATACTGTTTAACCAGGGATGTTACTGATCCTACTAATGCGAGTTAGTTATTTACTGTCGACGTGTTTATTTCTGTGTGTGTGGTTTACTTATTTTTTTTTTTACATTAGTGAGATTTGTTCATATGCACTGCGCTTTGCCTCTTGAAAATGGATGCAATCGTGTTTTTAAGGAAAACGTTGATGTTAAGCACTCCAGATAACTGCTTAAAGGGTTAGTTCACCCAAAAATGAAAATTCTGTCAGTATTTACTCACCCTTATGTTGTTCCAACCCTGT